GCCCGGAATTGCGGGAGGTAGTATGATGTAAGTGAAATTTTTTTTTTGTTGCACTACTTATGATTGCCAGTGTATATGTACAGTAGTGTTTTTGTTTTAATTTCCTTTTAGAATTTAGCAATCTATAAAATTAATTACTATTACTTTTTAAATCAAGTCGCTAACCATTTTTGATATATCAATGGTTGAATCTGCATCAAAGGTGTTATAAGTCGCACGATTATATCAGGGAGAAATGAAAAGTAAGCACTACGACCATAATCACAATTGTGATAATCTTCATGTTTCTTGTTATCCTGGTAAGTCATTTTCAACAAAAAAAGAATTCGAACAAAAACGTTTTGCCGTATACAGTCAGACCTCTTTAAGTGCATGTTCTTGGGACCACACTTTAATAATGTGCATATAGAGAATAATAAGAAAAGGTGCATTTATAAAGATCAAGTATATATTTGGACCAGCACTTGATCATGCATTCAGAGAGGGTATGCACTTATAGAGGGTGCACTTAGGGAGGTCTGACTGTACTAAAGTTCAGCTTTATACGATTTCGGGATTTTTTTTATTGTTCGAATGATGAAACTTTTTGAAGTCGCTTAAGTCCAAACACTAATCATAGACTTATATTAAAATAATTGGCAATCGATCATTAATAAAGGAAAAAATGTTTATTTATATAAATTTATTGTTATTCATTCTTGTTTAAATTCATCAATTACAGCAACCTTTAAAAGCATTAAAAAATGGTGTATTCGCCATCGCTTAAACATTAATTTTTTTTTTTTAAAAAAAAAAATTTAATCTGTCGCTGCCTTTATCTAATAAACAAAATGTCACCACCCAGGCGATATAAAAAAAAAAAAAGACAGCCCATTAAATTACCATATATCATTAAACGTAAAGAGAACACGAAAAAGGTGGTGTATCATCAACCGATCTATAAACCTATTATAAATAAAGATTTAATTATTGAAGAATTTGAAACCGAAGAAACTCTGGAAGCAGTCAGTTGTGAACAAAAAAGAAAGAAATCTCACGGAATTCTTCACGCGATGTAATCGTGATCGACTCACCTCATGAAGAAATTAATAAAAATTCTTCACATGATTGGATCATAATCGATTCACCTTAAATCTTTTATAATAAAACTTAAATACCATCTTAAATTTAGTCTGTGAAAAAATTAAGAGTTCTTATTAACAATTTGTATAGATTAAATCCGCAATTCCCTCTTATTTGAAATATAAATTGATATAATTTTTTCAGTTAGTAATAGTAATGAAAACTTCATAAATAGTAAACATTAGCTTATAAAGCATCTACAATTTATACTTGACAAATGATTAAAGTTTGGGTTTGTCTATACCCAAGTCCCAAATCCTGGCCAAAATAATATTTCAAAAACTTTATTAATATTGGACTAACATCAACTTATTCATCGCGTTCTTCACAGCAGCAATATTCTTTATCTAAACAATAAAATATAAGTTATTCTTAGAGTTACTGTCAAACTTCAGTCAGACCTCCATAAATACATAGTTATGCACATTCTATGTAAATTCTTTCTAATATAACTTGGTCCTATTTAATAAGAATTCTATGCATTTGTTTTCTATAAATGCACACCTTCTTTAATCAATTTTTTTTTTTACTGTGGTTCCAAGAGGGTGCATTTTGAAGGTCTGACTGCTGTATTTAGGGAAGTTAATAGTTCGTGCCAACATAGAACAAAGAAAAAAAAATTTTATTTAGGTACAGTAAAATGGGAAAAACTTGCTGAGGTAAATATACCAGCTTGGTGTTAGCGAAAAAAAAAAAGAAATGAGCATGATTTTTGTAACGGTAACGATAGTATAAATGTGATTATCGCAGTAATTTATATCAATTTTCTTAAGGTAATAATCATTTTACACAAACTAGGATTTTTACTAAGCAAACCGTATTTCGTCTAATAAGTAAAGTTATCGGAAATGCCGTTTTTCATATATCTTCAAAATTTGATGCGATTTGGTTAACTTTTCATTAATCGACTTTCACAATATATGTTTTGGCGCAGTAGATAAATTTTCTGCATCAAGCCGTATAACGTGAAAGTCGATTAATGAAAAGTCAACAAAATCGTTCCAAACTTTGAAGATATATGTAACACGGCATTTCCGATAACTTTACTTAGTGGATGAAATACGATTTGCTTAGTAAAAAAATCCTGTTTCCTTGTTATATGTTCAATTCGCCACAATACCCACATTCGCCATAATACCCGCACCCACTTTATATATAATATAAAAAGTCACTGCTATTAGTTGATTCGGTTTATGTATATGATATATATGTACTAAGGTGAGCATAGCGGGCTTTATTATGATTGGTTGATTTTTGAAGATCATCTCGTCATATTAAAGTCTTATTAAAGTAACG